TATATGCAAAAAAGTGTTGGCTAGCGATCTGCGAAAACCAGAGATCGATATCTCTTTCTATGGGGGAGTTATTCAAAATTTAGTCAGGGACATTGCTTTTTGAAAACGATAATGGTTTAGAGTGAATCAATTTCTACTGAGTACAAGGCATTCACCCAGGTGTGATTACGACCGTTCTATACGATCGTATACGTGAAATTACGACGACGTAAGTTGCTGTATACTGTAGTATTTTGTAATATTTTGAGGTAAACCCGGCCAGCCTAATACGTCAGCCGTTAGGACCGTCGTATTTCGTCATATTTGAACGTAAACGACGTCGTTTACGATGAACGTAATACGGTGGCCGAGTTTACGTCAAAATACGACGAAATACTATAGTATACGGTCGTGAATATTTGACCTGATAGGGTAAGACCAAGAAGATCGAAAACGTTCCACTGGATTTGAAAATTTGACCGATCTGATCAACACTGAGTGATAGACAGCGTTCCTTTTTAAATTAAAAGGTGCTAGTTTTAGCTATGAAAATCACTTCTGATAGGAAAATAAAAGGAATATTGATTTTTCGTTGAAGAGATCATCGAAGTTAAAGATTTTTGAGCATGTCTGCTCGACATTCTTATCTAATGTTGATGTATCTGTTTTCAGAGGATAAATATGCTTTCTAAATTATTTCATATTACAAAATGTGTAGTGTTTTAGTGTCGAAGATGTCTTCATCAGACTATGTTACGTACGCAATCTGAAACAAGAAGAATATGTGTACCCTTATACATAGTATAACTTAAACGTAAAGTTACATCAGTTCCTTGTTCCACTTGTGTACATAACGTGGTCTGATGAAGACATCTTCGACACTGAAACGTTACGAATGACGGGGGTCGATAACGTTGGCCTCCTCTCAGATCATTCTCATATTCATAGGTCTGATGTAGTTTTTCTCCGATTAAAACTAGCACCTTAGAAAACCCATTTTGGCCCCCCTGGAAAAAATTTTTCGCATCCAAATTTTCCTCATTTTTTCTTTTTTGCTCGAAGCAAATCTCAACTACTGTATACCATTCGATAGAGAATTTCACCAGCTACAAAATGATATATAAGACAGTCAGAAGAAAATGTAACTGAGTAGCGAAATTTGCATAGCTTGCTTTTCTCATTTTTAGTTGTTGCTTATATTCGCGTGTATTTTTGTTTTTTGAACTGTCACAAGTCTAGTCACGACCTCCATAAATCCATAGGTCAACACCGTTCATGTTTTATAATATTCATTTATTTTCTCGTTACTCACTCTACTTGACATGAAGACAAACTTTTAAGATAGTGTGTTACAGCTCATTTTTTAGCCCGTAAAATTCTCCATCGAACGATATATAAAATAGAACGTGTTAGTTTTAATCATGGAGAAAAACTACATCAGACCTGTGAATATGAGATTGATCTGAGAGGAGGCTAATCTTATCGACCCCCATCCTTCGTGTACATGCTTTTCATACCTGGTAACCTTCTAGTGGACCAACCCATTCGCAATGGTTATGTTTTTGGATGCATACGACTTGTACTTTCTTCAATTCTTTTTCGAATTGGCGATCATACATAAGCTAAACAATAATCAATAAAAAGCAACCACATCGCATCTAAACTGATTAAGGCCAATATCTTAAGCTCTTTAATATCTTGAAATCAAGATTTTGTTATTGACTCAAGATGTGGCTTGAACAATTCAGGGTACCGCGAACCTCACTAACAGGGCATTCACTATTGAAAGCGCGACTTACTTTCTTTGATATTGTGTCGTTGCATTCAGGACAGATAGTACATTCAGCGTCTCTAAAAAAATAAACTTTTACACATGAAATTTCAGGATAAAAAATAAATATCATAAATATCATCTTGAGGAGTCTTTATACTCTAAACTTCAGGATGCAGGAGTAAAATATTATTTAAGATACATCGATGATACTTTTCTATTATTAGATTCAAATGTGTCACCTCATAATATGTTAAAATGACTTAACTCATTTCATCCAGATATGAAGTTTTCTTTTGAAAATGAAAATAATGATATGCTCTCATTTCTTGACGTCCAAGTCATACGCACGATTACAAAATGTCAAAGGAGCTATTACCACTTCCTGGGCGTGCCAATTAAGAAAACAATTGTTTGATATGTCAAGTAAGTGAATGGTTTTTTATGATATACAGAAGAATAGATAATCTTGTCAAAATCAGGCGAAGGTCTATGAAGGAATAATGCCCCGTTTCTGGCACTAATCCCAACTAGTAACATCTAGAAAAGTAAATTGATGTTATGAAACACAAGTGAAATGTAACTATTGCAGGGCAAAAGTACCTCCGAAATGCATCTAATATTAGTTTTTAAATTTAGTTTTCAACGCTGAATAAGAAAAAATAATTTGAATGTTCTGACGAAAATCGCGACTCAAAAAACCTAATTTTGTGAACATCGTCATTTTTTCAGGTTTTGAGGGGGTTCGATTTTTCGACATGAGAAAAACGTTTCGAAAAATTGAGAACCACATATTCATAATTAGCTCGAAAAACTCTATGGAATGGTGTATCATAAGTTCAGAAAAAAGTTGCTTCATTTTTGCATTAGCTGCGCCTTACTTTCTCCACACCATAAATACTGCTTGTCTCAAAGCATGAAATATATTTATATAACCTTAAATATAAATATAATCATTCTAATTCGTTGTTTTAGAAATGAAATGTGTAATAAATTACCCTATAGCTGCTCGAGCACATGAGTAACATGCCCGGTCGCCGCATGACGTTTGAACTGGACTTCTGATTAAATTTTTACAATATGGACACTTGAATCGATTATCGTGTGCATTTTTGTTGTATACGTCAAAGCCAGCTCTATTATCACTTGGGATCTAGGTGTAAATGGAGAAACGTTTAAAGAACTCGGTTGTAGATCGTAAAAATACCACAGCTTACAGTGAATGAGTTGATATCATTAGTCATCTTTTGTTGTTTCCTTAAGTTATAAGTTGAAAGTAAATTTTACGTCAAATAATCTAAAAAATCGACATAAAATCTTTGATAATCTCTCGTTGTGAGACATACACTAACTATAAAAAAACTATAAATGAGAAAAAATGCATATCTTCCGTAAAAACCTTTCTAATTATACCACGAACGATGTTCTGTATGAGTACACGATTAACATCATGATCTATTGTGTTCTATGCGAAAAAGTTAATTTTGAACATGCCGTAGATTTTTGTTTTAATCAAAATTGTAGTTTTAACAAGATGTAACGATAAAGAAAAAAAACACAAAAATCAAGTGGAAGTTACTGCGCTTGACATTAACAGCTCTAAGAATTTTCAGACGTCGCGCAGCATTTTAGTGCCTATATTGTGAGTCTTGGATTGAAAAAGCTTTTAAATTACATGCTCGAATATTCATTTCAAAAAGCAAAATATCTCAAAAATAACGAGCAAAGGATAGAAAAAGATGTCAAACTAACAACGATATAAACGTTATGCATAAGGATGTTGAGCGCTATTTCCCAATGTTTCCACTATTTTGGACACTTTGCATCTTCTCTGTTTGAAAGAGATAAGTCTGAATTACAAAGCGTACATCAAGCAAGTTTTTCTCTCACAAAACTTCATTGAGAAAATATCCCAAAACTAAACATCCATAAAAAGTGTTCGTGCATCGTGGTAGTTTCCAGAATAGTGGAAATATGGGGAAATAGCGGCTAGTAGTACCAGAAAAAGCAAGTTTGCAAACTACCACTTCTTTGTGTCCTGGATTTTCAAAAACCATGAATTTTAAATGGAAGGAGATAAGACCTTCTCTGCTGATTTTCATATGTAAATAACTGGGACTACTCTAAAAGCAGATAATTATAGATTAAAAAAAGTATGCTTCACCGAGTACACATCTCTCCGAAACATTCAATCATAAGACAAACAAAATAAGGCAGTATTCAGACTGATTTTAACTTTAATTAATCAAAATAATATAATATTAAAAAAATTGTTCTGAATTAAATTATCAACTGTTATCCACTAATGAGACTAGGTTAGCAAGAATTTTGCTACATCAGTGGAGCGAGAAAAGGGAGAATAGGTTAATTTTTCAACTTAAAAATAGAAAGCTGGTCTGACCTGCATGATGTACAATCACTTCAAAAAAAAATAAATGAAGCAGGTAATTTTCGTTCTTTAATACATAAATGTCTGCTGATTACATTGAATTTTTATTATCGTCTTCATGTTCTTGTTCGACCAATGACAACAGATAATCTGAATACTGATAAACGGCAGTAGCTAAATTAAATTTCTCGATACGTTTATACTTATCACCTACGTGAATATAATAAACAGCTAATTCGCATATAAACTGATACATCAACACTTCTTTTGTTTGAAATATACAACGAATTTTTGGATATAATAGTTTTAATATTCCAAAGTAAGCGTTTTGTTTATCATTAGTGGGAATGCCAACAGCATAACCAACAGATAAAAGATAGATTGAACTTATACATTTAAAATCACTCATTAAATCAAGAATTATTTTAAAATCAGTTACATTGACGGACATAATGAGAAATAATTTTGTTTTATTTTTCAAATTTTTTAATTCGGTTAATAAACGTTGTTTATTATCATCACCAATACTAGTGCTCCTATATGTTGTGTATCTAAGATATCGTTTTAATTCGTCACAAGCAGATTTATACTGTTCTTTCTCACTGTCAATCCATAATACATGTATTGCATCTTCAATTGGAACTAGAACAAAAAGAAAATGATACAAAAGCTTTCACATGAAAGTATTATTTTTGCGTAAATCACTACAGTGATCACGAAGTGTTAGAAGAAATTGTTTTTCTTTCGATTATACTTAAATACAATCAAGCATTACTTGATTTTTTTAGTAACCTAGTATGTGAAAGCGCTTAAATTTTTTTCTTCAAATAACTAAAAACATCATATTTCCAGAATAAATGATGCAAACATTTGTTTACCTTCGGAAACAGTTGCTAGTTTTGTATCAGCATTATTTGTGCTGACATACTTCGATGTATACGAATCGAAAGATAATGGGCATACATTACTACTTGTTGTCAGAATCAATTGATCATCATTAGTAGCCACTGATTCTTGCTGTATAACAGGACCTTGAGAGAATAATGTGGAAGATAAGACTGAAGGTAGTTCTGCATAATAACGATTATCCAGCGCTTGTACACTATTATTTTCACTCGACACTGTTGACTTTAAAAAACCCGTTGTTAATGTTGTTGTTGAATGTTCCATTATCTTATCATAATATGCTAATGCTTTTTGATTCTTTAAGAAATAATCATTAACTATCACATTGGCTGATGCAAAATAAATTGTTGGGCGTTTTATGGCGTTATTTATCATTTGAAATATTCTGGTAAACCTTGCTGCAAGTTGATCATTTTTACCGCTGACTTTTGAATATACAGGTGAATACGTTCTCCCTGCATTACCGCAGTAAATTTCAACGTAATATTCAGCTATTGGATCGTTTTGATGTGGTATAGTTTTTGTATAATAATCTGATATAGTAATCCTTAGCTGTGGATATAAATCTTGAATGGATACCATTACATCACATGCTGTCGGGAGTAAATTTTGAAAACTGTGACTAACTGCGTCGTTCAGTATTTCTACGTACGTGTGTAACTGTGGGATGATATATGTACGAGTTTCCTTTATTAATAGCAAATATTCTTGTTTCAATGAAATGAAGCCATTGCGTTCTTCATTCTCCGTCTGAATAACAAAAATTTCGTGTGATCTATGGTCTTATAGCAAGAAAACAGAGTAAGTCTTACTTGAACTGAAGAAGATCTTCTCGTCTGCAGAAGTACTGATGACGACGTTGCATCTTGTTCTAAATATCGAACATCAACTGTTTCTTTAGCTTGATTACAAAATGTGCCACAAACACCGGCTAATATACAACTCAAAACACCTAGCGAATAAAACTACAAATGATTTGAAGCAGAGGGTGAGACAGTGAGAGAAATAAGCAGACAGACATATTTTATTTACTCAATACTGCTCAAAATCCTCACAAGGAAGAAGCTTCCTCCGATTTTTGTGTAAAGCGAAAGTGGAGTTGATTAGGTTGAATGAACTAATAGAAAGTATTAACTTAAGTCTTGAAACAAACCCTTTAAAAATGCAGTTTAGTTTGAAATAAGGTTTGATCGTACTAATACGAAAGTACGCGCCTATCTTATCGAGGGCTTACAATTTAGGAAGAAAAAAATAAATTGTAATAAATGGCTCAGTTATTAATTCGAGAAAAAAAGCTATTTATTTTAGAAAATAGCCATTTAAGCTAGATATTCCCTCCTAGGACACATTTTTTCTTTGCACAATGGGAGCCATTTATGCAACTACAAGAGTGATGTATTCTAGGAACTAATAAATGGCTTAGCCATTTATTTGAGAAAAAAGGCCATTTATGCTGAAGACTCTCCTACGACACCTTTTTCTTTGTGTTGTAGAAGCCATTTATGCAAGTAGAAGAACCATTTATCCTAAGGAGTAAGAAATGGCTTAGCCATTAATGCTAGGAAAAAAGGGCATATATTCTTGAAAATAGCCATTTATGCTAGAAATTCCCTCCTACGAGACATTTTTTCTTTGCATGATAGGGAGCCATTTATTCGGAAAACAGTGTGGGTAAGCCATTTATTCTAGAAACGGCGCAATTTATTTATCTAGTAATAAATTGTAACTGCTGATCTTATCAACAAAAGGGAACTTCATAACGGGTTAGTCGGCATCACAACCATTTCGGTGTAAATTCTAGGATCTGCATTAATCACAAGAGCAACATATTCTAATCAAGAATATGCTGTTCAAACATCAGCACAACATCTTTGGGAAATAAATGGAGGATGAAAAACAAACTGATGTCATGTTCTCCTTCTGTATCGATGAAATAATAATTGAACTGAACTGAAACTGGAAAAATAATTTATTTTCTTTCGAGTAAAGTTAATCTCTAATGAAAAGAAAATATACTTTTTCAATGAGAAGTTTCTATTATGACCTTGTAGATCGGGCAAAAATTACCTGTTGTTATTGTTCCACAAGTTTTATTTTCTAACGTTTCGGGCAGTAATTTATCTCTTGCCATAGCTACAATTGACAATAATAAATTAAACCAACTTAATTCATTATCAATTTTATTTATTAATGAATTATAGACGTTACATAGAGGACGTACGACTAGCAATGGGTAGTTGATTCTGATAATAGTGTGCTGTTACAAGCAAAAGTGAGCTGTCCAGTAGAAAAAATTCTTAGTCATTCAAATTACATTTCTGAAAACTTTTTTCCACCGCAGGGCTTATTAGACTTCTGATTTAAAAAAGTAGAATGGGAAGACGTCTCTTGTCCGAATTTACAAGTCAAAGAATTTGTATTTTTATTATATTGTAAAAAATTCTTGGAGCTAATTTTTGTCACAGCTGATTACTTAGAAAAGCACTGTTTTCAAGAAAACTGACTCTAGTAAGGTGAACCTAAACCTAAGCGTTTTTCTGAACAGTTGCTAGTTTTCCTTTCGTTATGACTTGCGAATTAGGTGACCTTTAATTGTAAACGACAAATAGCATTTTATCCTTGCATTTTTATGAACGGAGGAGGACAAACCAATGTCGTAACTGTTTCGGAAGTGATTGATGAATAACGTGATAACACAACCGACAATTTCTTGTATTAGATTGATATTAACTGGATAGAAATGTTTGATGTTAGTTTTTGAGCTTTTATCTTCAATTTCATTCATTACATCTTGAAATAGTGTATCAAAACAGGTAGGAAGATCTAGTATTTCATTCGGTGCTTTTCTCCTATATTCACGAATTTTATAACGATCATCAGTCAGATTTTCCTCTATAAGTACTGCTGATTTAAAATATTTTCTTATACGATTAAAAAAAACACCGGCACTACTAGTAGTTTTTGTCCCATGATGAATAATCGTTGACTGTTGATGGTGTTGTAGATAAATATCTCGAAGCTGCTGTTTATGTAAATATATCATTTTATCAATAATTTCTAATGTATAGGGTATACCAAGATTTTCAGCAAAGTTGTCTGCTTCAATAATACTTGTTTCAGATGTAATAACAACTAATGTTTTTTTTTTGATATACTTAATTGTATCTGATAATGGCATTGGTTGCCGTTTTTGTTGATTTTCATTATCAGTGTCATAATCTGTACTATCCACATTTGTGCTTGAATATTTTGGATAATTTTCACTTATTTTTTCAATGAAATCAACTTCATTAACAATAGTTTTATATGCTAGTAAACAGTTTTTTTCAAAGATATCATAACGACTGTAAATCATATATATAGCCTTTTGTTGTTTTGCTGGAAAGTTTTTGTGCATATTTTTTTTTAACATTTGTGTATACATTGTTATGTATGCATCCTCTGTTAAGTTAATTCTGTTTTTAGCTGTTTCTTCTTCACATATTTTAGAAATTAAAGCTATAAGATCTCGTTCAGCATCGCGTACGAGCAAGTTTAATTCCTTTTTTCCAAATATACTATAAGTTGCTGTACGCCATGCATTACGTGTTTCAAGGATTTGTGTTTCTAAAAACTGCGTTGAACGTTTTCGCACCAGGTCAGATGGACCTAAATCTTCAAATATTCTTTCTAAATATTTGGTACATTCTTTATGTATACCATCAAATGAGATTTTAAATATTTCTTCAATTTTCGATTTGCTTTCATTTAATGAACTTTCTGACAATTGTTGTTTATATTTTGATGATAATTTTTTTATTAAAAGATCTGTTATACGTTGACTTATTTGTTTGTTAAGATTTTTTTCTTTAAGATCTTTAAAATATGTTAAATCAGGAAAACGTTGTAAAATATCGAATATGGTGTACGCGTTGTGTATCCATTTCAGTGGATCAATATAGCTATCAATAGGACGTTTATGATCAAGTGTGGCTGATTGTATAATTCTCTTTGTTAATTTTTGTGTATTATCAATAAAATTTCCGGATGTCATACGAACTAACGGAAGTTTTTCGTTGTTCAATATATTTTCAGTTTTAAATGCGGACGGCAAGAAATGAAATTGTTCAGCATTTATATTAATAACTTTATCTGAATTGTCACTATTCAATTGTTCCACAATATTATTGATTGCTTTACGATTATTATCAATATTCGTATCTGGACGTTGATTTAAAACAAAATGAACCATTGGTTTGGGCATTTTATTTGGACCCAATTCTTTTAAGGAATCCAAACAGAGAATGATCATTTCTTTTAATGCCTGATTTAGATCACCAGCAATATTGACAATTACCAAATGTGAAACCGCCAGACAGAATAAAATTAAGTGACGATCATATTCTGGATCACCTTTTTCAGTACCTAATAATCCTTCAGAATCAATTAACATAACATAATTAAGTGGTTGAATGTTAGACTTCACAAATGAACCATATATACCACGCGTACAACGGCCATTATGTACATCAAACAATGTACCAAACATATAATTCAATAAAGTACTTTTACCACTATTTTGTAATCCAACAACACTAATAATTAATAATTTTTTTTGTACAAAGTTTTTCATAACTTCTGATAAAAAATCAAATTGAAAATAAAAATTATCATCGTCAATAATTTCAAATGAAAAACCCGATTGAATGTATTCACAATATGATTGCTGTATGAGTTGTTGATCATTAATTGAATTGTAGTATTTATAACAAACAATTGCATTATGCCATAAAACTTCAGTGGATAAGACTTTTTCAACTGATAAATTATCAGCTAAATCAATTTTATTTGTTGAAGTATCACGTTTTTGTTTCAATTCATTTGATAATAAATCTAAATTCATTAACCGATTTGATGATGAAAGTATTTTAATGAATGACTGAAACACTGCACCCCATTCACCAGTATGGTTTATCAATAGCTGTTGTGATTTTGTATTTTTATTCAGTTGTTGTTGTGTTAGTGTGTTAGTATTTTCAAACTGGTATTTATCATTAGTACCGGATGCGTTTGAACGCATAATAACTATTTCATTAACTGTTTTATTATAAAACGTAGCACGTGCTGCCTGTTGTTTTAAATAGCAATATTCATGAAATTTAGAATATAATGGAAAATTTTTTGTTTGATCTTCATTTGATGCTTTAAGTAATATCTGTTTTAATTCAGCAATTATTGAATATGTATCACTGAGATATTTGACATCATCTGGGTTGAATAATGATTGTAATTGATGTTTAGTAACATATACTGGTCTTTTATTAATCATAATATTGTCAAATATTCTTACATGTAACTTTTGTATCAATCGCACATTTTTCAATTCCGTATGAGCAGCTACTTTAGGCAGTTTTTCAATTAGTAATGTGGCGTCGATAATAAATAAGGTGTTTCCGAAGTTTTGCACTTTTTGACGGTTTCTGCTGGTTGAGGTAAAGGCGTCCCAGCATCTGATCTGATCAGTCGCTTCCTTATACCATTTAAACATGTTTTGGTCGATGTTTGCTGCTCGATAGAGTTTGGTTGTACGTTTGGTGTCTGTTTTTAGCCAACTTCTGAATAAAATGTAGCAAAATGGGCCGAGAGTGTTTCCCTTTTTTGAGTGTTTTTCTCTCAGTGCGTTATTTAGTCGTGTGTAAAAAAGGGGGTCTAGTGTGTATGGCTGATTGTAAATTTCTTCTCTGTCCTGGTTTTCCACGGCTATTAGTTTGTGAGCTATATATTGTGATCGACAACGCTGATCTAGTTCCTTTCCTTCGATAATGATTCCATTCGCTGCCTGCTTCACGATTTCAGGATCAGAGAGTTTCTTCGCTTCGATCCACTGTGAAAGAAAATTATGAGCGTCTTGGCCCCAGTCATCATTGAACGTTTTACACAATGCTGATGCAAGCGAGAATCTTTGTTCCCGTAAACCTTGATTTTCATATCCACTAATTAGAACTCGCTTTATTTGCCGCTGTTTATTTGGATGCAATTTACTGATTTGAATGGAATCGTGTAAGTTAATGGAATAATTATCTAGTTCAGCTAGTTTTGTTTTATTTTTTCCACGAAATGCTTCTTCGACATCAGATTCGATATCAGAATATTTTGTCCATTCTTCTTTTGCATTTCTTGACCATGGATCAGAATTCAATTTCCAGTACCACTGAGCTCGTGCTTGATTAGCTGGACTTGTCATTGATTAGACTGTTTGGAACGGATGGGTCCTTGAAACGTCCGGGGATCTAGAAAAGACACTAAACATATACTTCCTGTGCAGCGAACAGAGGCACCTAATAACTGTTCTAGTTTCATGATTAGCGTTCAAATTTTAGCTTTTAATCTTCTTGTTTGATGGCACCTGAGTCTGTGCGAGAGAGATCCTTTCATTCACGAAGCAACTGGACAAGCTGATATGTGATCATGCAACTCGAACAGTATCAACAATGTTGGAGTATTCATATCACATGAAAAAGTATTAATTGCAATCAACTGTGCATTATTACTTTCTAACATTACATATAGGACTATACATATAGGACTATACATATAGGACTTTTCTTTTTCTTTTTGGTCATTGTCATCCTTCACCTTTTTATTTCGTTGATACAGATAAATATATAGACGAACATTGTCATCGTTCGAGGAGTTCTTTTTCCTTTCGTTGTTTTATTTCTGTT